ATTCCTTTTTGAAAGCATGTCGGTCTGGGCTTTGCTCTGGGGCAGGGAAGAAAGAATATTAGCCAGCACGAGGGTCATTTGGTGCAAAAACCGCCTCCCTGCTTTTTGCCTGGTTCTTTAAAGATCTATGGACAGCGTAGAAATTTCCCTGATTGCTCTTGACGTTTGCTGGAATCCAGCCCAGGCTGACAGAACATAAATCTTGGAAAAGATAGGTAATATTTCCAGTTTCAGCCCAATTCCTGAGTTGTAGCGAAATGCTGAAGGAAGCAGCTGGTGAGACGATCCTTTCCCCTCTTCCAACCTCTTAAAAACTTTCCAGCTGGCCCTGCTGGGCTGTCGTCCATTCCCACGATCCCAGTGTCGCACGCCTGACATCACAACGGTAGACCTAGCATGGAGACAACGAAGCGAAGTGGGACACAGTGGCAGGGCCCCCTCTCCCTGGACTTTGCTGCCAGAGCTGCATTTCTTGGGGGCCAACTTAAAACAGTTATTTTACAGGTAGACAGTGGTGGGATTCTACCAATTTGGCCTGGTTCGGGCGAACTGGTAGTAAAAAATGCTTCTGTTAGGCTGAACCTGTAGTAAGAAAACAGCTAACGGTTGGCCTGAACCAGTGTTTCTTTTTCTCTTTCTCCCAATGATCAGCTGTTCTAACGATCAGCTGTGCCGGAATCCCCCTTGCTGTCTTAACTGCTTCATCCAGGAGGCCAAAAAATGGAGCGCTGGGGTAGGGTGAGGTGCTGCACACACAAAAAAGCCACACTTGCCCAGTCACATGGCCACTCCCTACCTAGCCACGCCCACAGAACCAGCAGTAAAAAATATTTCCATCCCTCGACGTACGACCAAGATTGAGCCCAAAATGTATGTGGCCAAGCGAGACATTTGTTCGGTGACTTTTGCTTCATTTTGCCACTTTTTCTCGCCGCGTTTGCTAAATAAATTACGGCCGTTGTTCAATTGGAACACGGTTGTTAAGTGAATCCGGATCCCTTATGGACTTGGCTGGCCAGAAGGTCGCAAAAAGGGAGTCACGTGACATCTCCCCTCCCCCCCAGACACTGTGCCACCGTCATAAGTACGAGTCAGCTGTCAAGCATCTGAATGTAAATCGCATGACTCTAGGGATGTTGCGGCGGTCACCAGTATGTGAAAAATGGTCATAAGTCACTTTTTTCAATGCCGTGGTAACTTTGTAAGTGAACTTGTAAGTCAAGGACTTCCTGTACTTGGGGGGGGAACTGGGAGATAAAGGGATGAGAGAGAGAGAGAGAGAGAGAGAGAGAGAGAGAGAGAGAGAGAGAGAGAGAGGGGAATGGTCAGGAAATGGGGAGTTCCAGCGTCCTCCAATGGAAATCACCCTCATAGAAGGGTCCTTGGCGCTCTCCGTGCTTGGTTGATGTTACCTAGTTACCTGAGCACTGATGATGGCAACAGCCCTTAGACTTATATACCGCTTCACACACGGTGGCTCAACAGCAAAGACGCTGAGCTTGTCAATCAGAAAGGGCGGTTCGAATCCCTAGCACTGCCACGTAATGGAGTGAGCTCCTGTGACTTGTCTTAGCTTCTGCCAACCTAGCAGTTTGAAAGCACGTAAAAAATGCAAGTGGGAAAATAGGGACCCCTTTGGTGCGAGGGGAACAGCGTTCCGCGCGCCTTCAAAGGCGTTTAGTCATGCTGCCCACAGGACCACGGAGACGTCTTCGGACAGCGCTGGCTCTTCTTTGGCTTTGCAACGGAGAGGAGCAGCGCCCCCTAGAGTGACTAGCATGTATGTTAAGGGGAACCTTTGCCTTTACCGCTTCCCAGTGCTTCCCAGCCCCCTCTAAGTGGTTGATGGAGTCGGCCTCTTGCCCCCAAACAATCTCATTTTACCCACCTCGGAAGGAGGGAAGGCTGAGTCAATCTTGAGCCTGGTGAGAATCGAACTGCCAAATTGCAGGCTGCCGGCAGTCAGCAGAAGGAGCCCTGCGTTCTAACCACTGCGCCACCACAACTCCTGTTAACCTAGTTTGGGTCAGGAAATGTGTGCAAAAAAACCCCCAAACCCTAACCAGATGCCCCTCATTTCAACCCCGAGTGACAAATAGTATTCTTCGTTGGCACCCTCACAGAAGATGGGAGTTCAAAGGCCTGTTTCTTGAATGTAAGCTGGCAAGCCGTGATTGGCACTGGGATGGAAGAGGGGAAATCAACAGAAAATAAGGAAGGGAGAAAGAAGTGATCCCCCCCCCCCCCATCGCTCTCGAATGCTGCAGCGTTCTTTAATGGGATTCCTGGTTCAGTGCCCATGCAGATCAGTCTACCAAAACGCAACCTTCCTGTTTCTTGCGGTACGTGGTGAGCTTTTTCGCTTGACACCAATAACTTCCTTTTTTTGCCCAGAGGCTGTTCTTAATTGTCCTAAGCGAAGAGGTGTGTTGTGGATGATTTGTTTTGCGGGGGTGGCTTGCACCCAGCCCAAATGCCAGATAAAAATAGTTAGATCTGTGCCGGGATATCCTAGCCATCTTCTTACCAAAGCTATTTCCCAAAGCACCAGAAGGCGAGACAAGGACCAGCGGGTGGAAACCAACCAAGGAGAGAAGCAACGTGGAATTAAGGAGAAGCTTCGTAACAGCGAGGACAGTTAACCAGTGGAACGGCTTGCCACCAGAAGTTGTGGCTGCTCCATCACTGGAGGTCTTTAAGATGAGATTTGATGGGCAACCATTGGTCTAAAATGGTATAGGATCTCCCGTTTGAGTGGTGGGTTGGGCCAGATGACCTCCAAGGTCGCCTCTACTCTGACTAAGCTAGGAATGTTTGAATCTGGGCTGGCCTTCAACACTCTGGAGGCTTCCACAGGCTTTGGAGCTGTCAAAAAACAAACCTGTAACCTTCAGGAGAGGAACCAGTGCTCGGGCCACGGGGACCCCTCTCTGCCACGGAGGTATCTGGGGGTCTGGTTGGGGGCCTCCAGTGCTGCCCCGCAGAGGCTCGGTAACCTCTGAAGAATGTCTGCCGAAGAGTTGGCTCCGGACGTGGTGGATGGCTGCCATTTCTGGCTGCTGTGAAAGGGGAAATATTGAAACCATTTGCTAATGAGGGACGGTGCCCTGAGAGTTTGCGGTGCCTTACAGTAACAGTACTGCAGGCAGCCGTTTATTTTTATTTCTGCATCCATCAGCTGAGCTGTTCTGGGCACCGAAGGGGGGGAATTCCAGCCCCATCTGGGAGGGAGGGCATTGCGAAGTCAAACACAAGTTGTCCTCTCCCTCTCTCTCTCCCACCCCCCTCTCTCTATATATATATGTTTTTTCTTTTACATACAATATGTGCTTAAAGAACAGTACCGTCTCAGTCAATTCATTTACATCTGAAGTTTCTAGTTTAGCAATAGCACTTAGACTTATATACCACTGCACGGTGCTTTTACAGCCCTATAAGTGGTTGACAGAATCAGCCTCTTGCCCCCAACAATCTGGGTCCTCATTTTACTCCCCTAGGAAGGGTGGAAGGCTGAGTCAACCTTGAATCTGGTGAGATTTGAAGTGCCGAACTGCTGGCAGTCACTGGCAGTCAGCAGAAGTAGCCTGCAGTACTGCCCCCTAACCACTGCATCACCATGGCTCATTTCTACCTGTGTTGTCCAACCGTTGATTAAATATGTCCCAAGTTCGAAATATACTCTGTCCTATTTTTCTTTGATCTTCAGTGTTAATCTGTCCATTTCTGCAGAGTCCAATATTAATTTTAATTACATCTTCTGTAGATGTTCCCTCACTTTTCCAATGTGGTGCAAATACAATTCTTGGTGTTGTTAAAACATGTAATAAATATACATTCTCTTTATCATATTTTTCTGGTATTACGCCTAACAAAAATAGTTCTGGCTTAAAATCTATATGCTGTCTTAACATTTTTTTTCTAACCACATATGTATTTTTGCCCTTTTTTTATTTGCTTTTGGGCACGTCCACCACAGGTGGTGGTATGTGCCCAGTTTTTGATTACATTTCCAACATTTGGTGGACATACTTTTAAACATTTTTGCTAGTTTCAGCCAGTGGTTAAGTGCCACCTATAAAACATTTTATACAAACATTCTTTATAAGTGGTTGCGATCGTCAACTTATAGTTTCTTTCCCAGAGTTTTAGCCACTTATCTAGTTCTATAGTTGTCTTCTTTCTCGATAGGCACTTCGGTGCCGGAGGAAATCTTTTTTTTTCATTTCCCCGTAATATTATTTTATCTGCACGTTCTGGCTTTGCCTTGGAGTCAGGGGTTAGAGAAAGAATGAAAGTACAGATACCGCAGCAATGCCCCCCACCCTATCCTCCCATCTTTGTTGGGGCAATAGGAAGATGGCTGGGGGTAAGGGGGTAAGACTGCTCGATGCCGAATTGGGTGGGTTGCCTTCTGGGAACAGCTGTCCCTGGCCTGGTCCATCGGGTGCATTGGTTGAATCTCCGCTTGGCAGAGAGTTTGAACGCCTCCCTTGAAGCACTGTTGACCCCATCTCAGGACTGATGGGCTTTGTGATCCATGTGCCTAAAGGAGGCAACCGCCATGTTGCCAGAGTCCTGGCTTTGCACACTCAAGGCCCCTGTTCCCAACCCAGCATCTGCCTGATGTCTGATTAGAGTTCACAAGGAATTTGTCTTGGTGCAAATGCTCTCAGTGTACATAAAGGAAAAAAATATACATTTGTCAAGAATCATCAGGTCCAACACTTAATGATAGTCACAGGGTACAATATAAGCAATCAAATCATACCAGGAAACAGTCCCTATAAATCGTAAGGATACAAGCGACAAAGTTACAGTCATAAGACACAGGTGGGAGGGGATGGGTGATAAGGAGTGATGAGAAGACGAATAGTAATAGTAGTAATGAGATTATGAGATGAGCCCACCTCCCACCAGTCGACCAGGCCTCAAGTTCAATTTATGGTTGCTAAATTGGTTGTACTTAACTTTTTCCTTTTGTTTTTCTTCCCCCGCCACAGAGTGAGCAGCAGCTGGACTGTGCCTTGGATTTGATGAGGCGTCTTCCTCCCCAGCAAATAGAGAAAAACCTCAGTGACCTGATTGATTTGGTGAGTAGCTGGGCACCCATTAGGCCCTTCCACGTTCCGCACAAGCGGCTGGAGATCCGTCAGGTCCGACAGATTCCCCCACCTCTTTAAAAACTCCCGCCCTACTTGAGAGTGGCTTGTCTCGCCCTGCGTGGGTTGGAGAGCGAGGTCGTTTTTTAGGATGGGGTGTCTTGGCTCTGTTGGTTTGTCTATATTTCATGCTCCTGGGGTCTCTGTTCCTCAGGAGGATTCAAAACCCAGGGTGGACCCCCCCCCCCCCATTTGAGTGAGCCATCTTTCAGGTGGGGGCCCGAAGCTGCACCTGCGAGGGCATGCAAATCCCACCTTCGTTATTTTTCCCCACTGCTTAACAGGGTGGCTCAGTGGCTAAGACGCTGGGCTTGTCGGTCAGAAAGGTTGGCAGTTTGGCGGTTCGAATCCTTAGCGCCGTGTCACGGAGTGAGCTCCCCGTTCCTTGTCCCAGCTTCTGCTAACCGAGCAGTTCGAAAGGACGTAAAAAAACATGCAAGTAGAAAAAAGAGGGACCCCTTTCGTGGGAAGGGAACAGCGACCTTCCGTGCACCTTCGGTGTTTAATCCTGCCGGCCACAGGACCACGGAGACGTCTTCGGACAGCGCTGGCTCTTCTTTGGCTTTGTCACAGAGATGACCAGCGCCCGCTAGAGCCGGAAACGACTAGCGCGGATGTGCGAGGGGAACCTTTTACCTTTTACCTAAGGAAGAAAGAGCAAGACATGCAGAATTCATCGCTCTGGGTTTCTGGCTGGGTTTGGTTTTTTTTTGTTTTACGGTTTTGCCCGTCTGAGCGACGCCACCGTCAGGCCGGTCTTGCCTCCCTCCGCTCTTCCCAGTTTCAGGAAGGCCACCAAGGTGGTCCAAGCAAAAGAAACGCTCCCCATTAAACGCCCTGAGCCAGGACCCCAAAGGCCAAGCTTTTACCTCTGCCCCTTAGTGCCGGCGTCCTTGGTCCCGGGAGTCCTGGGGGGGGGGGGGGGCAGCTGTTGATGGCCTTGCCAGATGCGATTTGTGCCTAGCCGAGGAGAAGGCCTAACTTGGACATGAAACACAAGGGGCACATCCAGGCAGGCAGGCAGGGTCCTTTCTGGGTCAGCGCCCCTTCCCCAAACCGCCGGTGGATGACCCTCCTCGCTCATTAGGCCCAGCCTGTTCTTCTACGGCTTTCACGGGCTGCTGGGTTTGTAATTAGAGTTCATTAGCGCTCTTGTCCGTCAAGGGTCTCTCTCTCTCTCTCTCTCTCTCTCTCCTCTCTCTCTCCTGTCTCTCTCCTGTTTCTCTCTCTCTCCTGTCTCTCTCTCTTTCCCTCTCTCCCTCTTCTGTCTCCCTCTCCCTCTCTCTCTCTGTCCTTCTCTCTCTCCTGTCTCTCTCTCCTGTCTCTCTCTCTCTCTCTCTCTCTCCTGTCTCTCTCTCCCTCTCTCCTGTCTCTCTCTCTTTCTCTCTCTCTCCTGTCTCTCTCTCTCTCTCTCTCTCTCTCTCTCTCCCACTCCCTCTCTTTCTCTCTCCTCTTTCTCTCTCCTCTCTCTCTCTCTCTTTCCCCCTCCCTCCCCCCCTCTCTCTGAAGCCCTTGTCTGAAAATAGGACGGTGTGTGCTGGTCTCCCCCCCCACCCCCCAAGACTCAGAAAGGAACACTTAATGATTGCTCAACAGGCAG